AAATAAAAGTTTCATTCAGGATGCAATAGCTTTGACCTCTACAACACTACCTATAATAGACAGTTCCTTCAGCAACAGGAGCATAGAACGGAGCTATGGCACTTTTGTTCAACCTCTGCAGCGGTATCACTCCATCTGTAAATTCTACTGCCACATGATTCATAGAGCATTCATACATTATGCATTCCATACCTGGTAGTCGTTCTCCAAAGCCGAGAATACCATTAGGAGATATATAAATTTCACTATAAGGATTTTCCATATACACCATTGGAACATCAATGGCAGCTGCATATTGGCCACCCGAGAAGTCCAAACTCTGCAAAAAAATTGTCTTCATTATTCCCTTCTGTCATTCCCTCATTAAATTAAACCACTAAAGAAGTCAGTGTGCATTGCGTAAAACCGTATTGTTTACTAGATACTCTATAGCATTTGCTTTTCAAGTTCATGTGTGTTACTTCTTTTCCAAAGATTTACCAAAAGCTGCCGGAGAAAGAATCGAAAGAAAGCATATGCAGAAACAAAGAAAAACTAACCAATCCTAATGCAATAGGAGAGAGCTTGAATTAGACCGCAATGATAATGAGTGCCAGATGCAAATACAAGTAAGTACCTTATTACAAAGAAGCCCAAAGATGAGGACATCCCTCAGAACAATTCACAAAACTTCAAACATCCTTGCAATTTTCAAAGGAGACTCTAAGAATCAGAAAAGTTTCCAAATAACAGATAATTTATTTTTAATGGTCAAGGTATCATCTGCTGCAGACTTAGCTGCATTAGACTAGGTTACCAATTTTGGAGGAAGAGTGTTATGCTGTGCACAGAAATATACAAATTATCGACAATAATATCTAGAACAATGAATTCTCAAGCAAGATTTTTCATTTTATCAAATTATGCGCTATTACATATTGATTCATAGACAAAAAATGACTTTTACATGAAGTAATTGGGGCAAATCTATCAGAGATTAGGGAAAATCTAGTTACTTTTCCGCGTTTGTGGATGGCAAAAAGAGTTAACAAGGGGAAAGCCCAGAAACTTTGCTCCAAATTTTCCTACATTGTTTTCAAATGAGTAAAAAGGTTGCACTATTATCATGCAGCTGTTCATTATTTATCCATCATTTTTTTTTGCTTTGATTTATATTGTAGACTTATCCTTTTTGATTGCTAAAGGATTAATTGTGGGTTTTAGTGGTAGGGTTCAGTTAAGCGTGTTCGCGTGTCAATGGGCACTCAAACCCTATTAAGATGAAATACTTCATTAGTAGTTCCCATTCCCCTCTATTAAATATTTGAAACTTTCAACGTTCTATTAAAAACGAAGCTTCCGAGCACATGAAATTTTCGTAAG